GGACATGTTCTGCACGCAATGAAGCCAGATTTACACGGATAAAATTGTTGCGAAACCATGTTTCTCTTTAACACAGTAGCTTCTGAAAAACATTTCATTCTTGTCGGCTTGCGATGCTGACACTTTGACATAAAGTTATTAAATATTAATGTCTGCTGGCTGGAACGAACGCACACTTATATGTGGTGTGCGTCGGTAGTTTTTCGAAACTGCACCGTTTTTGTACTCTAAGTCATAGTGCACGCTAGATATTCCAGAACACATCACTTATAATTTAGCTTTTAAGTATTTGTGACAAGCAGTGCATGCTTAAGTAATAGATGCGTAAGGCACGTCCTAATTGGAAGTTATTGACCCAAGGGGTTCTAATCGTGACTCAAAAATATAAGCTTATATTTGACAATTGGGCTTCCATTGAGTAAGAAGAAAATCTAAAATGCTTGTGTCGTGAATCTATTTAAAAAAAAACTGGTTGGTGTCTTCTTTAACGTTCAGTCGACAATACAACGTTTCAACAAGATTAAAAAGCTCACAATTAATCGAAACCTCTATTAAAATGGGTAAAACATTAATTAGCCATTTAATGTTTGTTGGAAATTTTTTAATAGCCTGCGGTCCAGGATCGTTTTTGCGTTTTTACTAATTATAAATTGAGCTTTTACCTCGGTGTAACTCAGAAGCAGTTTATTTCTAAAACAAGCAATAATTTACCGTTATACTTGAAGCTTAGAACTACTCGGGAACGTTTTTCTAGTATTTTAGATGCAGTTTTATACTAGATAGAAAACTTAATGTACAATCGCCGTATGTATTTAAAGTGAATCGCAAACATTTAGAGACGATACTGTTATTATTACAGATGTGAATAGTATGGCTTAAAAATGCATTCTACCTTTGGCCTCTTGATAGCTTACATTTACTCTGCACCCTCTATATGTGAAGAAAAGGTCTATCCTGGGTTCGTCGACTTTACGTGAAAAAAGTACGGGACGCCATAAACTGCCCAAGCATTTAACCACTCAATCTCACAGCTGACGTTTTACTTAGAATCCTATTTTTATCATATTATGCTGCGCTGCGATTGAACCAGTTCCACCCCGGTATATATTCATGATAACCATTATTACGAAATTAATCGAAAAGCCTCACTTTGCGTATCAAATTCAGACAGCTACATCTGATAGATTCTAGATTAACTGCTTAGGACATCTTGCTTGTTTTGTCAGGATACCGTAGCATACGGTAGCATACCGTAGCATACGGATACCGTTCCATACGGTTGAGTAGGCTAGACGGATATATTGACCCAAGTACGACGAATCTCAGGGCCCCGATGACAGGGAAGGTGCTCTTTACTCCGTTGGCTATAGCGTTGGCTGCACAAATGCCTTTCCGTTGTTGGCGTGGGTCAGTATTCTGCCGAGGCCGCCACGTCCTGAACACTTAAGTCAAAGGAATGACTTAACTCAGAAAAACCGCTCCACTAATATAAGAAATCGTTATTTACTTGCCTGGTTTACTTTTTAGAAAAAAACCTGCTTTATCACTTAACAGCTAAGCCTTCATAAATATACTATGGAAGTAATCACAGGAGGCTTTAGCGTTTAAAAAGGAAGTCGCGCAACTAATTTATTATGCCTCCTCGACTAACCTTTTGAAAAAAAGGTGGAAGAGACCGCGAAAGGTGTTGCCTTTAACCCGATTGTGGTGCTTCATAATTCGATTATCCACAACTTATCTTACCTTTGAATATTATCTCACAGTCAGTACTGACCTGTCTACTCTCCTTTCCTCGCATAGTAAAGGACAGTCCAATAGATTAAAGCCGTTATTTTATTTCGCAGTTGTCAAGAGGAAAGAGAATTGAGTCAGGTGCACTGCCGGGTTCAACAATCACCCGTTCATTTTTATCATCCGTTTTGAGTGAAGCATAGAACTGGCAACGTGTGTAAGATGGAATTTCAAGTAAAGCTTTTGCTGGAATTTGGGATTTTGGTTTTACAAAACCAGTTCCTGCTGCCATTGTCAGAGACGGCCTCCTTTGAGCCGCTGGAAATCCTACCGAGGGTTCGCAGACGTACTTCGGACTAGAAGCTGAGGAGGCTGCCTGTACGTCGGCATCTGGCGAAAACCGCCTGGTTGAAAGGCAGATGGAATAAAGTGGATAAACTAGTCCAATAGTCAATATCTCCAAAAGATTTGTAATCTTCTCGATGATATCGTATCGCATTGGTGGTGCAGGGGAAAGTAGGGGTTCAGTGAGATCAGAAAAGTTGGTTTCCTCGACTGTGTTGATGCCTGAAAGGGATGCCTGCGCTATTCGAAAACCGCAAACTACCAGTCCGCTTACACATAAGCTGGTCAGAATGGTCAACGAATGGAGACAGCCAAGCAGTCGTAATGCGATACTGCCGTAGGTAGGATGGTTGGCCACTCGTCCTATTTGAAGGCCTCTCCGACTATCACCGTTGGGGCTTTGAATGATAAAATGTGCAGAGGAAGGACCGTCAGTGGGTTTCATCCTATCAGCGACAGATTGTGACCCACCATTTGCGAGGTCGTAGAGGAGCACCGTGGTCTGCCGATTTCCAACTTGATGCATTTTCCGTTTTCTTGCTAACAGTAGACACATTGCGCATGCTGGGAAAAGGCAGAGAAACGGGACTGTGTAAAGGATGGCCTCAATAAATCGAAATGAACTGTTTCCTATCTGCGCACAACGCTCCTCCGCGCTTATTTGTTGTACAATCTCAACAAGAGCTTCATTTTTAAGACCGGCC